TATTATTATTATTATTATTATTATTATTATTATTATTATTATTATTATTATTATTATTATTATTATTATTATTATTATTATTATTATTATTATTATTATTATTATTATTATTATTATTATTATTATTATTATTATTATTATTATTATTATTATTATTATTATTATTATTATTATTATTATTATTATTATTATTATTATTATTATTATTATTATTATTATTATTATTATTATTATTATTATTATTATTATTATTATTATTATTATTATTATTATTATTATTATTATTATTATTATTATTATTATTATTATTATTATTATTATTATTATTATTATTATTATTATTATTATTATTATTATTATTATTATTATTATTATTATTATTATTATTATTATTATTATTATTATTATTATTATTATTATTATTATTATTATTATTATTATTATTATTATTATTATTATTATTATTATTATTATTATTATTATTATTATTATTATTATTATTATTATTATTATTATTATTATTATTATTATTATTATTATTATTATTATTATTATTATTATTATTATTATTATTATTATTATTATTATTATTATTATTATTATTATTATTATTATTATTATTATTATTATTATTATTATTATTATTATTATTATTATTATTATTATTATTATTATTATTATTATTATTATTATTATTATTATTATTATTATTATTATTATTATTATTATTATTATTATTATTATTATTATTATTATTATTATTATTATTATTATTATTATTATTATTATTATTATTATTATTATTATTATTATTATTATTATTATTATTATTATTATTATTATTATTATTATTATTATTATTATTATTATTATTATTATTATTATTATTATTATTATTATTATTATTATTATTATTATTATTATTATTATTATTATTATTATTATTATTATTATTATTATTATTATTATTATTATTATTATTATTATTATTATTATTATTATTATTATTATTATTATTATTATTATTATTATTATTATTATTATTATTATTATTATTATTATTATTATTATTATTATTATTATTATTATTATTATTATTATTATTATTATTATTATTATTATTATTATTATTATTATTATTATTATTATTATTATTATGCTCCCAGGTGCAAGGTCACAGCCACGCCCTCGTGTCACTTGTCCGCCTCCCCCGCGCGGAAACCTCCATACTAGTGATGGATGCAAGAATATGGGAGCATTTGTATATAGGCAAGTATGTGGTTGTTTGCAGAGACCGTCTGAGTGTGTATGCGTGTGTAAGTGGATGTATGTGTACACTAATTTTACATTTGTATAAAATCCGAAATTCTGCGGGTCATTTGACCTTTATGAATCGTGCAATAACTGTACAAAATGCTCATTCCGGCGTCTGCGGAGTTACAGGGGTTTGCGACCTAGCGATTCCTCTTTCCCAGTTTCAGATTCGCTCGACCTTCCAAGGGAATGCGAAAGTGGGTATGCGTGCGTGCAACAACACCCACCTATTCGCAAACGATGCCCAACCTGCTATAGCAACACCAGGCGCAAGGCAATCCTATTTCGCTGGTTAGCAACGACATCGCCAGCAAGCAAGCAGCAATGCAACCCCCAAGCGGCGAGAGCCAGGTCCTAGAGCCAGGTCCTAGAGCCAGGTCCTAGAGCCAGGCCAGCTGCGAGCCCCGAGTTCCAGGCGAGCAACACGTGCCATTCCGCAAAGCAGCCCCTCACACCTCCTCCCTCTCCGTCCCCACCCAGGCCTTCCCCCACTTCCCCACTCGTCCTCACCCATACTAGCCTTGTATCTAATGATTCTCTGACGTCATGAGGAGATATCACCCAATTACATAAGATTTACACAAAAGCTGCAGTTCGAAAATATAGGTTTGCCAAAAAGGCGATATGAAAGCCTGACCACAAATGCGTTGCTTACACAATATAAACAAGGTTTACAAAGTGGTTAAAGAAAGAAAAAATAGTATCGTCCCCTTTCATATTTTCTTTTTTATAATGAACAAACCTACGCGAACTTCCAATACCAATGGCACAGTCTCACCTTCCACCTCCAATGACAAAAGACAGACGTCACTGCCTGATCAAAACGCCTCGCATACGAGTGGCATGACCATTACACGGGCTACTCTAATAGGTCATATTAAGATCACTGCACGCGCGATAAACTTTGGGCTCGCCACTGTGCGCTTGAACTTGACAGCTGTGGTAGCCGTGTCCGAATGTTTGGACGTTTTCCCTGGCCAAGATACAGGTTGTATTCACGTGAGTCGCACAGGTGTGCTCTTGTAATGGACTGCCCTTAGGCTTTAGGAATTTCGACCCCCTTTCTAATCTTCTTATAAGACTGCTTATAAACCTCTGGGGGCGTGGATATGCTTTTTCATATAAAATTCAGCATATTCACCTTCCTAACGCAAACTGAAAATGTCTATCGAAATCTGTTTATCTT